ATATAATTATAATTATTATGTATTATTGAGGTCGATATTCTCAAACTTTTCGCACCTCATCCACAACCATGTTGAGGCTGAAGTGATGTGCATTCTTATGCATCCATGGGCGCAGATCATGAGCAGGGGACACGTATCCCCACATATTGTTAAGAGGGGTGGTCCTCTCACTTTTCGTCCGCAATGGAATTTCATAAGTCAAGAAGATGCCTGAAAATTGTTGATTACTCCTAGGACCCAGAATGTTCTGACATAGCTTTCCACGACCCAAACCACGGTTACCATAGAAATGGCGTCCAAGATACAAAAATATACGGCCAAATGTAATAAAGTAGATCCCCTAGTTTTGGACACCCTTAAGGTGATTGATACTTTCAGTGAACAGATGGGGATGGGGGAGGGGCAACGTCTATGAAGGGCACACCCTTATTAATCGGACACTTTCTGAATTTCTTGGTGAACCAAATGGTCAAATATATTCTGCCTCAATTTAGTGTGAACATCAGTATAGGCCTACTGCATGTGTTCTTATATTTTTGAGTCACTCTATTCATGCTATATGCATTCCTCCAATAGTAAGCTAAATATATTTTTTGTATATAAAGGGGAGGGACACCCCTATTAAGGGGACACGTTTGGACCCCTACGGTACTTATTAAACTAAATAATAACCTACTAAAAGCATCATTTCAATCTTATTTTTTTCATGATATTTTGATCTCGATCTTTTTTTTTTTTTTTCCTTTTTTCTGATTTGTGTTAATTGTGACATTGGTTGCTAGCTCCTTTGTCATGTTTTGATTTCATATTGCCACTAATTTAGCAGTGACGGTTACTAAAGCGTAAATTGCCCTCAAGAGTAGACAAATTAGCAGCCGAGGTGGTGAATTAGTGACGGAACACTAAAATTCCTAATACGTTATTACCAAAACAAATATTTCTGTGTATTTTGAAACACAAACAGTACTGATTAGTAGACTCAGGCTGAGTAGACTGTTGGCGCATAGCGATGTTTTATCAAGCTCATCAACATCGGATAACAGCCAATTAGGGCCTAACACAAATTGAAGACAATAGTTAACATTTTACCAAATCAATTAATCTCATACTGTACGTTTTATATTATTTTCTAGACCAAGATGCGATCTGACGACCCCAAAAAGTTCACCCACGACCAAAACTTGGGTCGCGACCCATGGGTTGTCGTCCGGAGGCATAAATGACCCATTTTTTTTTAAAGAAAGAGCGCCGTACAGCCAGAGTAAATATTATTTTGTAGCAACATACCGGTATATCTCTGCCCGCAAACATCTGAATTACCTATAGGCCTACTACAGTACGATTCGAGTGCGATTTCCTTTATTATTATTATTAGAATTATGAGAAAAAGCATGCTAACAATTAAGTATTATTTTCTATAGGCCTACATCAACAGCGAATAATTTGAGCGATGATGATGAATTATTTTACGATGTAGGCCTACTTAGGAATTTTTATATTTACTACGAATATTTGAAAACATAATTACTGAAATGTTTACTAACTTAAGAAGTCTACCTGAAGCAACAATGTGGTTATGTGCACGTCAGCACGGCATTGATTTGATAGAAAAAAAAGACTCAACTTGGATTGAGTTAATGATAATTACTTAAATACTTCGTTCCAACATTCGAAACAAAAACGCGAACATTTTTCAGGTATGTGAAGGCTCTCTGTTTATTTTTTTAAATATTTTATTAATTTTATTTTCACTGCATAATAAGTAAAATCACAATACACGCCTTAAACTTATTTATTTTTTTAATTATTTATTCTTAGCCAATGAAACAATATGCAAATCAAAATCCAAGATGGCAAGGAATGACCTCAGTTATAAAAACAAACATCAGAAATGATTAAAAATAACAATACAAAAATATAACATCATATTGGAAATACAGCAATAATATAGCATCCAAACCAAAGTTAAAACATTGTTTTTGAAATATTTAAAAAAGAATAGATATGAAAAAAAATTATCTAAGTTTTTTTGATTGATATTTGATATACTCGTGCGTCAAGAGGGCGCTGTTCATTCTGCTCTGCCTGTGCTCTGCGTGCGAGAGTGAGAGACAAACATCATGTTGAATATTAAGATGATAATTTACTATACTGCAGCTTGAAAACCATTTTATTCTTGGAATGCCTTCTGTACGTACTTATGAGGAAACTAGTCAAGTGTTCATATTTTTTTTTAATGCGAAAGCTTATGGTCACGTTTACAAGGTAAGTAATAATAGCCCAACCATGAGTACAGCAGCTCCCTAGCTAGGCCTACTAGGCCCAGTTCTAGCGGGTATGTAGGCTCTAGCCTAGGCCCCCAGCCTACTCTCTGTGCTAGGGCTTGGGCCTACAGTAGGCCTAGGTAGGCTATGGTTCTAACTAGGCCTAGGCCTAGTTAGCCTCCATACTACTTTCTGGCCGCTTAGCCGTAGGTTAGCGGGTTGGTTAAGCTAGGCATTATTGGGGCTAGTACTAGAGAGTAGTAGGCTACTACTAATAATAAGTAGGCTACCCCTTCTAATAGCATTTTAATAGTAATACGCCTTTTTTTTACAACCCAAGCAAGCCAGTGGTGCATAACCAACAGAAATAAGATAGGGGCCTAAGGTTTGAGGCTAATTTCTTGTCCTCATGTTATCTAAAAATTCATAACTCCATAACGGAGGATCATATCACAAAAGACTATTCTACACCACTAGGATAAGGTTGGAAAAAAATTAAAAAATGTTTTTATTTCAACCTCTGAAAAATTATAACTCCATGCTGAAACCAAGATGGAAAAAGAAGAGCCTATGTAAATAGTATTGATATTTACCATGACTTCAAATTTTCCACAACAGGAGATGGCAGACATGGCACAGTACTCTTTGACAAAGCAGCATTCGCTGCTAAGGTAGAATTCATTCAGTTGATCATTCCTTTCACGTTTTAGTGATACTGTAATAAGGCAACACACCTTATTTCCCAAACTTTTTGTTTCAAAGATCGTCATCTGAGGAGGATGAAAAAAATATTAAAATATAATTTTGGTTTTATATTTAGCAAATATTTTTGCCAAATATATCCAGACGGAGGAGAAAATAATAATAACATTTTATTGGTGAATGTAAACAGTGAAGTAATGGGATCATTAAATGTTTTTAATCTATTTAATTAGGAAGAAATATCATATCTTATTTTTGAATATTTCAAGGCAGCATCGGGCATACTGTAGTAAAAATAAAGAAAAGATTTTATATTTTTCTTAAATTTTAATTTTTACATGGCAGCAAGTCATCATTATTATTATTGGTCTGTATGTGGCGGGTTAGCTAAACAAGGTATAAAGAAGTGTTGCCTAATGCGTCAGCAAAGCCTGTAAGCCAAGGGAGGTCTTAGGTTTTGAAGGAAACCTTTTTCATAAGTGCCTTTACCAATTACATGTTAAACTATAATGGGGTACAGCTGTATTATAATAATAATCATCATCAGGATGTTATTAATAGAGTACTGAACAGTGATACTAAAGCTATGGTCATGATGTGCCTATAGCCATGATGTGCCTAAATATGGTCATGATGTGATGTCATCTAGCCATGATGTGCCTATATATGGTCATGATGTGCCTATAATATATGGTCATGATGTGCCTATATATGGTCATGATGTGATGTCATCTAGCCATGATGTGCCTATATATAGCCATGATGTGCCTATATATGGTCATGATGTGCCTATATATGGTCATGGTGTGATGTCATCTAGCCATGGTGTGCCTATATATAGCCATGATGTGCCTAAATATGGTCATGATGTGCCTATATATGGTCATGATATGATGTCATCATGACCATAGACATGTAACATGTTTTTTTTTTCTGGATATAGCTTTAAGCTGTTTTCTTTCTTTTAAACTTCAAACCATGGCCTCCATTTTATTGATGTATTTAGAATGGGACATAGGAAATGACTTACTCAAGGCATGTGAATGTCATGACCACTGACCCTTCAGGGGGCTTAGACTTCTGGCCCTTATGTGCCCCCCACCAGGGGCCCTAGGTTGCTGCAAGCCTCTATCCATTTAGCTTGCTCATGACCTCTGCTGCTGTGCCCTTCATACATTGGATCAAAGACTTTGAAACACATCATCAATCACCAATCATCATCAATCACCAATCATCATCAATCACCATCATCATCAATCACCATCATCACCAATCACCAATCATCATCAATCGCCATCATCATCAATCACCATCATCACCAATCACCAATCATCATCAATCACCAATCATCATCAATCACCAATCATCATCAATCACCAATCATCATCAATCACCAATCATCATCAATCATCATCAATCATCATCATCATTGTAATCATTCATTCTTTACACATTTATATCATTTACTATTATATTGCAATTGAAACAATAAATTACTGATTGTTTTTGTTTGTGTTTTTCAGTTGGTGGACATACCAAAAATATTGGAATCCTATAAAACAGTTGATAAGAAAACATTCTTCAAAACTGCAGATATATGTCAGGTAAACTAGTGTTTCATTCACAGTATTTTCATTTATATACGAATTGCACTGTTAGTGGTGGCAGACAGTGTACCTACATATTGATCTGTCAGTGTTGTAATTTCATGCTTTGTATGATAGAAGACTGATAGTCTAAATTCTTTTGTGCTTTGGTAAAATCTTTTCAAGTGGGACAAATTGCTGGGTGGGCCCTGTTGGCACAGCTTTTGACAGCCATTTTTTAATGTGACATGTCTAAATATGGTCATGATACATTACATCACGACCATATATAGGCACATCATGGCTATGGGCATACAACATCTTCACACGTCTTTGAATTGTAGATGCTTGGTTGTTCAAATGAAGGGGAAGACAGTGGAAGTGGTCGAGAGGAAAAACGTTCTCCACACAAGAACACCGACAAAGTCAACAAGAAGTTTCTATGGAACCATGGATGTAAGTTGAAAACGAAACAAATGATTAATAAACATATACCATTGTAAATTAACCTCGTTTTTACGTACCCCAGTTATACGAACCCTCTTTTTTACGTACGCCTCGCATGGACAATGACGTCATCAAAAACCCCGAAAATATTCAAAACAAACGGCCCTTTTGAGAGCAACCATATGTAAAAAGAATATAACAATAAACTATAACTATTAACAAACCATAATGCAACATATTTTCATTTAACAGCAACGTTGATTGAGTCTAATACCGGGTTGTTACAATCTAAAACCACGTGAACTGAGTGAGATGAACAACTACCGATGGTGCTCAAAATTATTGCTTTCCTCCTTAGCTTCGTGTGGCAAACCATGGAAGAACTCGTCTGGTCGAATTTTCTACACGAAGCTGAGT